TGAAATGTGTGCCAAATTTATTAAGGCTGACTACTTATGGGTGATTAGCTGGTTATTACTCTTGTCCAAAATGACTGTTACTGGTCAAAGAATTTACTGTTGTTACTTAACAGAAAAACACTTCTTCCTCTGTCAGCTCTTTTTTGAGAGCTCCAGTAGGTGAATACTTTTACCTCAAGCAACCAAATTCATACAAAAGTCTTTATGTCATGTTAATTCTGGACAAGATCATTCCAGGAATCAGGGCTCTGTGCCAGAAAACATGTTTGGATAAAACTAGGTAATCCAGGTTTTCCATTTCAGAGTGAGGGTGGGTGCTGAGTCAGACCCTGTAAACCCAACCTGCAGGATTTCTTTGACTCCTCTCCTTCTGGTGTATCTGAAATGGCTGACTTGCATTTTTTTTCTTTTTCTCATCCATGAAGTTGCCATCAAAGGTCATAGTTGAGTGGTTTATTTTGCAGAAATTTACATTTTTACAGACATTGGGAGACGTAGTGAGATAATAGTTTGTACTTAACAAGATCGCATCTTATAATGATTTACCAATGTAAGAATGGAAACAGAAATGACATCAGATTTACTATCAGTTAAAGATGAAATTTATAGCCCATTTTCTAACTCTGGATGGCAGTACAGCTGTTAGGCTGGTAGTTCCCATGTATTTAAACATTTCCTGTCCGTTACTGTTTAAAAAATCTTTTTAATAGCATGTAGTGAGTGTCATCAGATATGACACGCCACAATATGTCATTTTTGATGACAAAGATCCCATACTGATGCAAATAAATACACTGGGTGCATCCTAATTCACTAATTTTCTTGTTCTTTTTTTTAAATTGAAAGTTGGTTTGATTCTAACTCTTGCAGGCCATCTCAAAGCTCGTATTTGATGAGTGAGGCAACATTCACAGAAGCAGGCTTCACAAAAGTAGTTTTCCATCTGACAAGCCACCCTATTTATATATTACTGATATTTTTATTTATTTATTTATTTTTTTTGAAGTGGCTGAGCAAACTGGTCTAATCCATCACATAATCACTGAATTTCATACCAATGTTGGGGTGTTGGATAAAATCAGTCTGTCAGCAAGAAACACTGATAACTAAGTTATTTGTTATTTCTACTCACAGGCAGATCGTTTCTAAGCATCTGATTTGAGCTTTGAAATGTCATTTTTGTCAACCATTTAAATGGTTTCTAGTATTATGAATATAGTAGAATATTTTGTATTATTTAAAAGAAAATTAAGTTCACAATTAGAACTTAAGTACATACTGACACTAATTCTGTAAGTGGATTCTGTCTCTGAGCAGGATGCAGTATGAATCCAGATGGCAGCTTGTTACTTATCTACAGGTGCTAAAGTGATAGCAGGCTACAGGGAGAAAACATTGCTGCTTTCAAGTGTTTCTATTATTGTTATTCTCAACTGTTAAAGCTGACTGACAACTGAACTGTGGTTAGCTACCTCACTTGTTAGAAGTGGATGTTTCCTTAGATTTTCTTGTATCTATCCTCCATCCTTCTTGGGAGGTACTAAGAAGCAAGGAAAAAATGCAAATGATAGAAAAGTGTAGGCAGTTTCAGGGACCTAGGATGTATCCACATATAACTGTGATAAAGAACCTAATGTGTAATTTGCCTGTTCACTGACAGATTTATTTTATTAATATTCTGAAAATT